TCTTGAGGCTTATGATAGTTTGATTTTCCTAGTTCCCTCCACATCATCAGACTTGGATGATAGGACTAAATTCTTGGGCAAATGAAGGTAACAAATTCTGGGAGTAACAGACATCCTCTACTATATTCCTGGCAACCACCTTTTAGAGTAGGATTTGCTCTGAGTGAGCTCATGCAGCTCCAAACAGAAGATATAAATCTATTCAAGCAAAAGATAAAACCCAAACCATGATCCTCCATACACACACCCCTTACCCCAATTTGTAGTACTTTAATCAAGATGTCAGGGAATTTAGGGTCCTTTATGGAAAATAAACCAATCACACTATGTAGCTTTCAGGGAAGCCAATAGGACACTGGCAGCCTCTAAGTCCCTCCTCCTGAGTCACCAGCTGTCTGTCCTGCAGCATGTTCTCAACTTTGCTGTTCTGGTGCACAAGAATGACCAGTTTCAATATCTTACTGCAGCAGGCCAGTTAAGTTGGACCTGATAAAATCTTCTACACCCTGGGGAAGGGGGATTGATAAAATTGCATATTATGCAATCTAAATAAAGATAATAATTTTTGTTAAGTTGAAATTTACCACTGGGAAAGGAAATAAAAATGAAGAAAGCAAAGCAAGCTATCACACTATCACAGAAAGTATTTCACTGCCACGGACAGTTGAGCTTAAGGCTATGCATGCTTTCACTAGTTTGGTATGTTCTGAAGAAGGAAGAAGTTTACAGATTTGTTCTGCTCACCGTGTGACCCACTGCAGGACACTCCACCCTGCCTCGCAGCAAGGCAGAGCAGCCTTGCCAAGCCTGATGCTCAGATTCCCTCACTAGGTCCTCTAGGACTGAGAGCACAACACAGCTACCCCATTTCTTTCCTCTGTAGGCTGTCAGTACCATGATAAAGTGTTTTGAAGCTTTATTTCTTTTTTTTTCTCCTTTTTCTCTGGATTCTGAGTTACTTCTCGTTCTTTCTTGGCAGATATATAAATCCAGTCTTAATGGTTTATTCCTCAAGCACAAGGGATTACCAGATAAAATAACACAAACTAAGGAACATAGGCCAAGTATCTGTCCCAATACTCAAAGTGAGTCTCACCATAGACTGCTAAGGGACTCAGACTTGGCCCTAGTTCTGCAGATATGGAAAACATTAGTGAAGCTTTAGAACATGCCTGGGGCTCTGTCCTAACCTCTGCTGAGCAGCTATAGGAAAAATGTAGGAAACATAAATTTCTCCTCTGCTTGTGAGCCAGGGCAGGAGACTTGTCCAATGAACCATCTGTGACAGCACATTTTAAAGGTGCTGCACACTTTTCACAGCTATCACGAGTGCAGCCCCCAGCAGCAAGTAGGAAAAAGTGGGCTCCTCGTGGAGGAGCACAGCACATCCCATAAGGATTTGTTGCCAAGACACAGTCTTGGTGGAAGCTGACAGTATCACTGAGACACAGGAAACAGGCTGTGCTCTTGTTCAGTTCTGCTGTACAAGCTAAGCAGTGGAGCTTGTACTTCATAATTAACAGAAGTCATTTATTCTGTCATTATCATCACAGAAGCTTAATCAAGAGAAAGGTCATAAAGAAAGTCCAAGCTCCTGCACATTGTAAAAGTCTGGCTTGGGTATTCTGCTACATACTAGGAGCAGAGTTTCTTTTCTCCATAACCTGAGTAGAAATGGACTGTTCAATGGAGACAGTCTAATGAACTTCATTTGTACTTTGCCTTCTCTCACAAAGACTGGGAACACATGTCAAATAAAGAAACCCACTGCAGTGTCCAGGCTCATGGTTTGCATTTTTCTGGAAAAATAGAACAGATGGAAAGCCAAATAACCACATCTATTTATTTTTTTCTGATTTTCTATCATGGATGTGTAAGTGGTTAAATATTAGATTCCTTCTGTTCAAGTTTAAGGAGTCTGATGTGATATTATTCTCATAGAATTATGTATGAGGTGGAAAACCCAACTAAGGAATAGGAAGAAGAAACACTGCAGAGTTTGTACACGTCACTGTAGTAACTGCAAGAGTTAAAAGAGGATGAGAATTACAATGGTGTAATGCAATTTTGCTATGGGAGGGAGGTTAAAATCTCTCCATATGGTTTGGTCTTATTTTAGAGAGTGATGCATATAGACATTGTAATTTCATACACAAGTGATAAGAGTGATTTCTGCATAACAATATGTCACTTCCTTCTGTCCCAGGCTGTTCTGTATTCTGACCATTCTGGCATGACCTTTCTGCTGGTGAAAGCAAGCAGCTCCCTGATAGCACATGTGAAGGGTTTAGCTGTGTTTGGTGCTCAGTATAAAGATCCAGGCGTGTCATTTTGCCATGGCAAATTTAGAGTGAAGGAATGGATTAGTCATGGCAGAAATGCTAAGTATAGATGAAACTCAACAAAAGCAACGGGCTTGTTTTCCAACGACTCTGTGAGGCTCATGTCATTCTGTTTCGCACAGAGGCTTTTGCTGATGATTAGTTTTCTGTGGGTTTTGCTTTCAAACACTAGGGTAGGTAAGAGTTTGATGGATGAGGCAGTGCTAGATCTGAAGGTGAGTAAAGACCACCATAAGATTAGTGACTTTCTGTAAAGATAAAAGACATTTATTATTCACATCCATGGTGTCTCAAAATTCTATTCAGGGACCAGAACCTTTTGTGCCGGATATGGCAAAGAACCTCAAAAACTTAGCAATGAGGTTTAAGGTGAGCAAGAGCACATGGCTTTAGGCAAATAGTAACAGGAGTGTGAAAAAGCAGTATCATGGACCCTGTTCCTCACAAGGATTTCCAGTAGACAAGCAGTCAACTCTTCAAAAATGCTGCACGACACAGAAAGGGGAAATTAGAAGGAATACTTTAAAGGAGAATAACAAAGTAAAAAAATGTGAATGCTTCTAATTCAAAGCAATAATTAGTCAGAAATAACTCCAGGTATATGTGGACCACAGATAGGGATTTACAGCATGGTACCTGCCCTGACCCAAGGCCTGAGCAACCACAATTACCTTCATTATATGAGTGAGGAGTTCTTTTCAACTTGCTGGGTGAGGGTCAAGATTCTCCAAGGCAGACAAATTCACTGGAATCAGTGAAATCATCAAATCTAGAACTAAAGGCAAGACTCCTATTTTCCTGTTAAGAACTTTGCTTGCTATTTTGGAACTCCATGCACACACACACACACACCAAAAAAAAAAAAAAAACCAACAAAAAAAACCAAAAAAAAACAAAAAAAAACCAAACAAACAAAAAAACCAAAAAAACCCAAAAAAAAAAACTTTATGAAAATCTTGGAGTTACACTGTTTAATCTTGCTTCAGGAAATTAGAGCAAAATGCTAAATACTTGTGAAATGTCTATGCTCACCACTTTTACTAGTCTTCCTTTTGCTTTGGATGTTTTTCTAAAGAGATTTCTGATTTTTAGGTTGAGATTTTAAACATACAGAAGTGTGGACATTCTTAAGTTGTTGTTACCAAGCACATATACCAATTAAAGACTATAACAGCCACAAAGAGTAATACCAATTCTTATGTGAGAACTCTCCATCCTGGTCAATAAGGATATTTTCTTGAGTTTTTGTATATTTATGTGAATAGAAAAAAATATGCAAATAATGATACTTTTCCAAACCAAAATTCTTTTCATTAATAACTGTGTCAACTTTTTATTGTAGAATTTTTTTACTTTGCTTGCTACTTATCCTTGATTTTGGACCTTGCAAATAATAGTAATTTTCCCCCTAAACTGGAAATCTAAACATAAGAAAATATTGCATCTTGAATGGTAAAGAATGAGATACTTTAGATTTTTATTACCCATGGATTGGTTCTGCACACCTTATTGAAGAACTTGTGTAACACTGAAACTTTGAAAACTGGCTCCTCTGTAGAACAAATTAATATATAAGAACAAACACTGGGCTGATTAATTTGTTTTATAGTGGTTGTCATCAGTTTATCATCCTGCACATAGAACTGGCAGACAGCTATGATTAAAAAAAATTGCTCCTATCTCAAGACATTTTTTGACAAAGAAACAAGAACAGGACTTGTCTTACTAAATCAGCCTCTGGAAGAGCATGTCCTTCTCCACTGACCAGAAGAGGATCTGGCTGACAGGCTGGGACCAGAAATTTAATTTTTACCAATTAAGTTTAGGTGAGATGAATTCCTTTTTATTAGAATGGTGCTCTAATTTTTCTGCCACTAAAAGCCAGGTCTGCTTGAAAGTGACCTCTGGAGCTGGCCTCTCCTTGCAGCTACAGGAGAGCTGATGGACTTTAAAGAAAGACAAACCCACACAGACATACATTATGAGAACCCACAACAAGTGGTCAAAGTTCCCATTACTTGTTCTGTAAAATTAGAAGGGGAAAAAATGTTTAATTTTCAGGACATTTCAGCTGATAACATGGTCACAAGAGACATCACAGAAGGCGTGAGGCGAGGAGGTGACACACCAAGGATCACATAGTTCTCTTCAAGGTGTGTGACATCCCCATACAGGGCCTGGCAGGTGCATCAGCAGCTGGTACTGCTTTGTTTTTTGTCTGTGTAGAGACAGACAAAAGGGGGGTACAGGCCACAACCAAGGAATTAGAGCTGCTGAGGACTCCAGGCATTGCTGTAATAGATTTGAGCTTTCCACTGTCATAACTGATGGAGAAAAATGGGCTTTTAAATAGGGATCAGTGATAAATAATAAATGTTAACATTTCAAAGAAAATTATTAATCAGTCAGAGGAAGAAATGTCTCTAGGTTTCAAGTGCAAAATATTAATAGATTTCAAAGCCAGGAATGTACTTCTGAAAATGATGGGGTTTGGCATCCACCAGAATTTCATTCAATTTTTCCTCTCAAAGTGTTGTGTTTTTCTCTAACATGAACTGATACAGGAAATCAAAACCTTATAAAATAACTGCAGTTATGTAAAATTTGCTAACATTCAGCCACGGCATCCCAGATTTATGGTTCATCACATCTACTCAGTTTTTAGTAACATGTTTATTTGTGCTCCTTGGGGAAACACTTGTGCTTCATGATCAAATAAATCCAATAAAATCAATTTCACATGCAAATCACAGAAACCATGGAAGTGATTTCACTTCCAAACCATTTGAACCCTTAAGGCGTCATGTAACATGATGCCAGTCTGTGCTTTGAAGTATTGCTCATGAGATTTCCAAGATGTTGGTGATCCTCTGGGTGGATATTCAGCAGGATCCAATGGCTGGCAGTGTTACCTGTTGCTGATCGGAAACATCATTTGCTCTGCACCTCTTTTTGTGGTTATCCTGGAGCAAAAGAAAATCACACAAACAAAACCACACACAGAGAGCAGATAAGCAAACACATACAGAGTGACTGTAAGATAACCCTCACACTGTGTTTAAATGGTGCCCATCTTTTCTCTCTCCCACTACCTATGCTTTTTCTCTCACACAGATACACACCTGAGGATAGGAGTCATCACACTTATTTTCATTCATCTAAAAATTCTCTAGTCTAACTTGATTATCTAGGTTTCCTCTAGAGCTTGTGCAGGGAGAAAAAGCAAGTGGCAGGCACATCCAGATGGCAATTTACTCACCTGCACTAAACAGTCAGAATGGGATGAATCAGTTTGTAGAAATGCTCTTCTCTCTCTCCTTTGCCTACAGATGGAACATAGACAACCTGGAGAAGATAACTGATAAAGTTAGGTAAGGTGTTTCCCACTCCACACGTTGGTGCACTCTGCTTTTGGAGATTGTGTTTTCCTTTGTTAGGATTTATCATGGTAGAAGGAGAGATAAATTTTTCACTAAGACAAATAAACAAAGCAGTTGAATCTAATGTGAGCTCAGACTACATCTCTTTGCTAGTGAGAAAGTGTTTGGAAATCATCTTCAAATTTTCATGCGCCAACATGTTTTCCACTTCAGGTTAGAACTGGTAGTGGTGAAATAGCACAAGAAAATCAACCTTGTGTCTGGCGCAAAGCAGATCCCATGGGATTTTTTTTTTTTTTTCCCAGGCTGAAAAAGTAAAGGATGTTTAATAGTTCAGTCAGATTTTGGGCAATAGTCCACACTTTGGGGTTCAGCAAACAGAGCAGAGCACTTGTGAGGTTTTTCATGGTCAAAGATTGCCTAAACGTTGTTTGAAACTGCAGAGTATACAGTAAATAGTAGACCAGCTACGATGCAAGACAAGGCATATAGAGAACACAAGGCTCAGTGCATTAACTCTGTGTAATTCATGGACTTAGTCATTATTTACTACAGCTCTGAAGAGGCTACCAACAGCCCCCTCAGGAATTAGCACTCGCTCTGCACTCGTAGCAGAAACATCCATCCAGTTAAAGCCCAATATACCTCTCAGAGAAGATGAAGCAGAGTGTTATGGAGATGGAGAGTTGTTTAATATGTGTCCCCACGCTCCACACTATTCAAAGACTTTCTGGAGAGAGGGCTGCTCCTTTCTGCCTGCAGTTCCAGCTCAGCACTCAGTACTGGGGAGCTGAACACGCTGCAGCAGCAGCACAGAGTATAAAGGTCACAATCTCCACCAGCCTTGTGTGCCCATTCTAAGATAGCTATCACCTGATATTTTCAGAAGACAGAGCACTATACAGAATTTGCCATGTGAAAGAAACAAATTTCCTTAAATTATCCCATAACAGTGAATCCACTAAACTTGCAAAAAGCAGACCTCAAATGCTTTATGCTAGCTGAATGTTTCAAAATCGGGATTTTTGTTTTTTTTTTTTAATTCATGACCTGCTGTAAAAGGTTTGGTTTGAATGTCTTGCTTAGAGACAGAGATAAAAGAGAATATAATGGAAGAAAAGAGACAGATTTCTTTATATCATTAGATAAATTACTTAATTGCAAATCTTTCTTCTTACTGTAGTTAATGCTTTGTTCCCTCCCATTTCTGCAAAGGTCCTATGAAAAACATTTAATTAAACAAACCTTTTAGATTTCACTCTTTAGACTTTTCACTACATTTTAAATGTGTAGCTGAAGAAGAGTTCGAGACCTTACCTATAATACTTTGAAATTCTGCTCCACAAATCATCATGAAAATAGTCCTGCAGTGTTTGGGTTTTTTTCCTTCTTATATGTTTACTTTACTAGACAGAGAAGACACTCTCAATGTGACTATCGAGCTTTTCAAAATTTTTCATTGTTCCTTTCTTCTTTCACTCTTCAAAATCATTTAATAATTCATGTTTCCTTTCTCCTTGATTCAAAACCATCTAGACCCTGCGCCATTAGGTTAGGACAATCCCAAAAGTAAAATTTCTCAAGACTACTGGTTAGGGAGTCACAGCCATCAGTGCTGAAATTTAATGTCAGATCTCCCTTTAAATAAATTGTCATTACAGCTTTTGGGTTAAGAGGCTGAGCCATACAGTTCATATTGTCAAATTGCCATAACTTGGTATTAAATAAAATCCCCAAATTTTATAAAGCTGAGAAAATTTTCAAGGTTCAACTTAGAGGTGCAAAGCCTGCTTTGTCCCAGTCTGATGGGAAATCTCTTGCACTGGTGGTCAGCTGTGTTTGGTAGGAGAAGAGGACGATAGGCTGCCTGATGAGAAGCAAAGTGTCCATGGCATACTCTGGTCACCCTGCCATTAGCAAATTTGGCCCCTGCCCTTAGTGGGCATCACCACTACCAGTGACCCAAGTCAGAAGAAAAGCTGGAAATTGATTTCTAGCTTCAGCTCTGTTTTCTAAAGAAGGGCTATTTCTAGTATCTTTCTTTGTGATTAAGCCTTCGACATGCAAGCTGCTGGAAAAACTGATATAACCAGATTGTCAGGGTGGGAAGAAACAGCAGCTGGGATCCCCATCTGCTGCAATAAGAAGCTAAACTAAAAATTCTCGCAACATACTCATCTGAGGTAAAATGAGTCAAAGAAATGTATTTTTATCCACAGAAGAACCCCAAAAAATCTCTACTTTTCCTCTGCTTCCCTTTTCCCTACCTCTTTACAACACACTCAGAGTACTATCATCCAATATGGACAAGGATTTTAGCCAAATCCATATGAACAAAATCCAGAGCACATAATATCAAGGGCATAATTTGCCTCGTTGTCTTCAATGCTGCTGAAGAAATGTGTCAGTTGTGGTGTTTCCTCTGGTCTGTCAATAGCTCCCTCGATTGCCCCTTCAGGATGATGGAGTCCTTGGTGTCACTGAAACAGTGTTAGGGCATTCAGTGCAGCTTCTTTCTCTAAAATGCTAGTCAGAAGAACAAATAAATGGCAACACACAATTCCAGTGACTATGAATAAACTGAAAAATATGGAATATTATTTTAAAACTTAGTTTCAAATATAATAAAAAAATATAGACTGAGAAGATGTAATTTCCTTCTAGGATGGGAAAAAAACCAAAGCAAACCTGGAAGAAATTGAGAGTTTGAAATAGGTATAACTAAAAAAAACTTCTTGACATGTAATATAAATAAATTTAAAACTAAAATCATGTGACCTCCCTGGCTTTCTTATTTTAATTACTTTCCTTTTTAACATAAATAATACATTTAGCTTATATTCCTTTTCAAGTATATTTCTAATTCTATTCCTTCTATGTTAGTTTTTATCTTATTCTTACTAATTAGAATTCTTTTCTGTAAGTATAAACTGCTTCTGATTTTTCTACTTCTTGGTCTTGTTTCAGGGTTTTTTCTCTCTTCTTAAGTCAGTGCATTTTTGATATTTGAAGCTTCAGCAAAAATAAGGGAACAATGACTGAAATATACTTTCTTCCTAATGCAAACTTAGAATGAAAGATATTTCATTTAAAATTAATTAAGAATTTAAAGATATTAACCATAGTGATAATTTTGCTACTTCATAGGCTTATATAAGCTTACATCAAAATGCAAAGAAAAAAATGCCAACTTTTCTTCAGGTAAGACACTTTCTAATGCACAGCACTATTATTTTAACACAGAAAGCAATTTAATTGAAGTAATTGTAATCTACAAAGACCTTCACCCTGCTCCTTAGATTTCAAAACAGATTTTCTATTTGCTTTTAAATGGAGAAAAGCTGAGAAAGAATACAAGACAGGAACAAGTGACAGAAGGAGAGATTTCATCTTCAGGGTACATACAGCTTTATAAAACAAACAAAAGAAAACCAAGATGCCTGAGTCACCTGGGTTTGAGTAACCTTGGATTCAAACACATTCAGCTTTGTTTGGAAAAAAAAAAAACAAAACACCAAAAAAACCCCCAAAACAAACAAAAACAAACAAACAAACAAACAAAACCAGAAAAAAATAATAAAGTTGTTATTGGCATGTATTACCCTATCAGTCTGCTAGATGTTATCAATACCTCACATCAGAAATAGATTATGTCTGTAAGATATTTTTTAACATTATTTTTAACTTTACAGACATCAGACTAACATGGTTCCATGGAGGATGCATAGGTATTGATATCATTATTTCAGAATTGTTCAAAGTACAGATATATTTCTGCTTTTTCCACATGACTGCTTCCCACAGGAGTGTCATTTCCCCTGTTTTATTCCCATATCCAACAGCTTTGGCTAAATACCTTGCTCAAGTACTTTATCTTTGAAGGAGGGTTTAAGGGTCAGCCCTTGGTGTGTATTGATCAGTCCTGAGCCCAGGCACCAGGAGGCGTCTCCTGTGCATGGCCCTGGTAGGGCACAGGTGGTATTTGGCCAGGCACTGGCAGCAGGGAGCCCACCAGCAGCCAGCCCCTTGACAAAACCACAGGCAATGAGCACAACTTGAAGGTTAAAATGACCAAAAAAAAAAAAAAAGAAAGAAAGATGAAAGAAGGCACCACTACACCATGGCTTATTTGCTATGGCAAAAGCAACTTTAAGGGGGTATAAATAGCACGCAGAACTCTTCTCTTTAGCATTGAAGGCGTACTGAGGATTTTTTTTTTTTTTTTTAAAGCTCCCTTCAGATTTGGTGCATGAATTATCACCTCTAATAGCTGATAATTAAACCACTTCAGCAAAGCTGTGAAATAGAGAGTACCGGCAATAAAATCTCAATCTCACCTGGCAATTATTTTGAAACTATGCTCCAAATAACCAGATAAATAAATCTGTGTACATCACAGGCAATTCTCTGCAGGCTGGCAATTCCATAAATACTCACACAGATGCACATATCCATAACCACATCTATGTGTATAACCTTCAGTGAAATATGGAATAGGTCTTTAAATGAATTGCACAACCAAGGAGAATATGATAAAACTAGAGGTTAACTAAATAACACTCTGTAACTGGCTCACGAACAAGATTCAAAAATCTGGATAAAAATAGAGCTAATAAGCAGATTTTTTTTATTTATGGAATCTGAAAAGCTATCTGGTGAGCCTGCTTATTGTTCTGTCTTAGAGGTAAAACAAACTGTTCTAGGGACAAGTATCGATTTCACCATTAAAAGAAAACTATCCATTCATAAATATTAAGTGATGATATTATCTCTTTCCATGACTGCCTTCTTATAGGCAACAAAATATAATCCACATTCAGGTAAACAATAAATAGCTTTAGCAGCTACAAAATCTACTCATCCCACACATCTCTCAAATGGAAAACTGGAAGGACATTTTGGGAAGCTATCCTACTATAAAATAAAGTAAAAGCACCCTATAATAGACTCTGAAATGCCACCAAC